GTTACAATGCAAGAATAGGAATGGGGAGGAATGCAGCTGCTCACTACCCAGTGCCTGATGCAGCTGTGCATTCCTGATTCCAGTTGGCTTGTTCTGAGCAAGGAGGCCTCCACCACACGCGTCTGCGTGATGGCAGGGCCAACAGCTACCACAGGGGGAACAGCGCAACTGTGCAAATTGTCCTTGTCCTGCTGCCATAGTGCACCGGTCATTGTTTAGGTAGCACGTCTGCCATTGGCGGTGGGTGAACCATGAGCTTGGGGAGGATAGCCCCTGGCCGGCCCGCCCCTCATGGAGCCCAGAGGGGCCTGCCAGGCCGCCAGAGTTCCCCCCCCCTCCAGCCCTGGAGTGCTGGGCAGCATGGTCCCCAGTCCGAGACCCAGAACGGCAGGTGGGTGGGCGGGCAGGCAGCGTGGCGCCCCACCCCAGGCCTAGAGCGCCAGGCATGCGGGCAGCTGAGCACGGCTCCCAGCCCCAACACGAGGGGGCAGGCAGCATGGTGCCCAGCACCGGAGCACCGGCCAGCGCGGACCCCAGCCCCCGAGTGCCAGGCAGCGTGAGCATTTGGTTAAAACCTATTTCCAAAAATAGCAGCTAACACGGGCATAACTGGAAGAATCTAACCCAACCTAGAACCAAACTAGCAGGACACAATAGGGTCCATTGCATTTGTTTATGTATGAAGGCTACACACCATGCCCAAGAGCAGTAAGTATTTAACAGCACACAGGGTAATCAGCACAGGAAGGAGGTCCTCTCAGTAGCTGTTACTAGTACAATCTCAATGCCATAATTCACTGCCAGCACAACTCACCTGAGACATGCTCGAGCGCGCTGTATGGTTTCAGGAAATGACACTATTGCACGGATATGCTATTCCCACCTAGAAATGACTTCAGTTACTCACGGCTGGATTTAGAAACAGCACAATCTTGGGCAGCGGGTATAACAGGCCAGAGACGGCTCTGCCCACCCTGGTGCTGCCACTTCCGACGGACCCCATTGTGGGGTTTCGTGAGGGGGAAGTTTGGGCTTTATTATGCCCCATGCAGGTTCCAGGGTGGCTGAGGCGGCAGTAGGTGCTAAGCAGTTTACCAGGTTCATCAGTAATCTCCCTGGACTCCTGAACCCAGGAAGCTGAGTAACAAATACCACCTCCTCAGCCACCTCAGAACCTGCGTGGGGCATATCAAAAGTGTCTTCGGGACGAGAGGTTTTTACCCAGGGCAGCTTGGGGTCTGGGGAGGCACGGCAGGGCCGAGGCCGGCGGCCTGGGACTCCTCTGAGCAGGATGCGGGGAGGGCTCGGGGCTTTGGCCAGTCCAGGGCTCCTTTGGCCAACGTGGGGAGCGCTCAGGGCTCCTCTGGGCGGGGGTGTGTCTTGAGGCTCCAGCCATGGAGGGGGGCAGACAAAAGGGGCTAGCCTCCCTAAAGTGGGGGCTCCACCTGTCACCTATGACTACAATTACAGAATTAAAGCACTGAAAAAGGAAGCCTTGCTGCTTCAGCCCACAAACCTTTGTTTTTGGTCTTAAACTGCTGATGCGTAAACGGACGCTTGAAAAAGTCCAGGGCCTCATTTTATCCCCAGCGAGATTCAAATATACAGTCTTAAACTGCTCAGCCTGGATTCAACTGCACTTGTTTCATCAGCTGTGTAAAAAAGATGACCAAGAACAGGAGCCCTTGCCCCAAATGAAATGGAGCATGCTCTAAATTTAAAGCATGGGATGAGGAATGGAGATTCTTGAGAAGAATGGAGTATTTCAGTTTACCCACCCTTTTAGAGCCATGCAAGTGATTCCATGCATGGGGAAGGCGCAGTCATCTTTCACTCCGCTGAGAATGTTTTAGCTGATCATAGAATATCAGGCTTGGAAGGGACCTCAGGAGGTCATCTAGTCCAACCCCCTGCTCAAAGCAGGACCAATCCCCAATTAAATCATCCCAGCCAGGGCTTTGTCAAGCCTGACCTTAAAAACCTCAAAGGAAGGAGATTCTGATCTGAATATTCAACTTTTGCTCAGACAAAGAGATATGTTTAGATATTGGCAGAATGTCACTTTTCATGCTCACAGATCTGTGGGCAAACTTACTTCCTTGAATAATGTGACCTTGTACAGTTCTAAAATAAATGGACATGGGCTAGATCACTTTTAAATGAAACTTACATTTTGGTTTGTGATGCTAACCCTTAAGTGTCTGTTATTAAGTGGTTAGGCAAATTCCACTCCAAACACATAGCATGGATACAGGTACCGTTAAAAATAGCTTTCTCTAGTCAACATAAGAGTATGCTGTGCTTTAAAGAATGCACTGTATCTAAATGGATTAGATCAAAGCATTAAAATGCAGACAGCTGCATCACATTTCCAAGCCTTCCTCTACATAATATGCTAAAGTGACAATAGGCTGCTGGCAAGAATTAGTTCTTACACAGGGGCCTTGTGTACATTGAGAATTTAAGCCTCTCCCCCAAACGCGAGCAGCGGTACAGTTTCACAGTTGCAGCACGGGGGTAGACAGTTTGCAGTTGTGTTTAAGCGACCACGTCAGCCAGACTGGCTCTGAGCAGCGAGCATATGCTAGAGTTAGTTCAACTGTTTGCACATGCTATTGTTTTCCTGTGTTTGTCTGAAGTCCATAGAGATCTCTCATCCAAAGGTTGCACCTGGTAACTGGATGGAGTTTAGACACCTAGAGATATGGAGGGCCCTTTCCTTGTAACCAGCTGGGGGAAAAAAAAAAAATAATCTCAAGCAATACTTTCGCTTTGAATCCTCTGAAGACCTGCAAAGCAAAAGTGACGCTGACTCCCTGTGTTATGTATCTGGATAAACAGAAACTCATTAATGCAGATGAAGGTAAGTTCTTAGAAACCTTTAAACTGAATGATCGGTCTACCTTGTAGTGGCTAAAGAGTGTGATGCCAGCTGAAAAGCAGCTAGGGGTGACTTATATTTGCTGAGAGATGTTAAGATGTAGTGATGAAATGTTTTGACAGCGTAGACCGTAAGGGAAGTCTAACATGCTGTCAATGCTTCTCTCTCTCCCCCTGCCCACCCCTCCCCAAAAAACTCCACACCTTTACAAACAGCACCTGTAAGGTCAGTACTATTTATCCTCGCTTTGTAAATGAGGAAGCAAAGACAAGAAGTTTAAGTGACTGGCTTAAAGGACACAAAAGGAATTGGCGTTGCCTGGGAGGAAGAGCATTGCTGAAGGCAATGGTGGGCAACCTGTGGCCCATCAGGGTAATCTGCTGGCAGGCCGCCAGACAGTTCATTTACATTTGCACAGCCACCCGCAGCTCCCAGTGGCCATGGTTTGCCGTTCCTGGACAATGGGAGCTGCAACTTGTCCTTAGTTGTTAGCTGCTTTATCTGCTATGCCAACCATTTAACAACATCTATTTAATATTGATGTCATTTAAGAGACTTGTCACACTAGAATTAATCTTTCCTACTGCATATGGATAAAAAAGCCACACAAACTACACAGCATGGCCTACTGAAAAGGCATGAATGTCTTCCTGAGCTTGGTCAGCTGAGAGATGCATGACACTGGTGGAAGTCCTCCATCAATAGCCAGCTTGTTATCCCTGCTGGGTTGGGTACAAAAAAACCCCCTCCTCGTTACATAAGGGAAACACCTCAACAGCAGAGGATTCCAACCCTATCATGTAGGCATATGGCATGCTGATGCTCACTTAGATGAAGGTCGTTCAAGAGGTGGCCCATGTCACTTCTTGATGCTGAGGAGTAGACAGGTGATTATGTGAACACCTGTTGTGTTTCATTTCCCAAAACCTGCCACTGACTTTGGGGGCCCAGCCTGACACCTGCCGCTGTAGATGTTCAGTGCTTTTGAGAGACAGACATTGCCCGTGTCATTGCCTTCTCAGTGGCAATGACTGCATGGCTAGCGTGTGAGACCTCTCCCCCCGCTTCAGGGGAACTAACCACGTGGCCCCACTCTTTGCACCTAAGGCCCTGTTCCTGCCCCCCATCCACTGGAGCCCCAAGTGCCCACCATGCCTCCCCTCCTGGCCACCCCCCAGCGCCAGGCCGCCCTCACACCCCAGCGCCAGGCCGCCAGCCGGGTGGCGGCAGAACTGAGCTCCTGCAGACTTGGGCACCAGCATGGGGGAAGAGGATGCAGTATGGGCGGGGCCAGGGCTTGTCTTTGGGAAGGTTTAGCCTCCCCGGTCCTGTTATACCCACCACCCATGAATGAATCATTGACTCAAGTGTGAAAGGACCCCATCGCTTCCCTGGCCCCTCCAGCAACAATGCTTGAATAGTGAAGTGAACAGTCTGAGTCATTCTAATTGGAGGATGCAAGGCTCATGCCTCTCACACTCAGCGATTACTCATGTGCCATTTTAATGGCCACACACATGCATTTATATGAAGACAACTGTGTTTATGGTGATGTATTCATTACACACCAAATTATATTACGGCTGAGTGAGCGGCAGAGCCTTTATGCAGCTAGTGACAACTAAAGGCCTAATCTAATAGGAAACCGAACACAAGAGATGTCTACAATCAAACACTAAGCACTACCTTACTAATGGTTATTCTCAAAGCTGCCCTGCTTTGGGAAGAGGGTAAACATCTCCAATTTCTTTTTGTCAAAGGAAATGTCTGTGTCTGGAACGAGTCAATGGTGATTCCAAATCCGTGGTGGTAAAATGCATGCGAACAGAATAGGGAAGTTTACAACGTGATTTGATCTAGCAATGTAGTCTTGGTTATTCCAGCTTTGTGAAGGAAATAAAATAAGGCATTCCACAAACTATGGCCTGCGTCATAGGCAGAAAGTCATACTAAAGGAGCAAAATGGTTACTTTCGGCCTTAACATTTATGTAGCGCTATAATCAAAATCAATAATACAGGACTCAAGTCAGTTGAGCTTAACATTTAAAAAAAAAAAACACTACACGATGCAAAGAAAGCTAAGGTAGGTTAGGTCATTTAGCTAGACTGAGCACTTACCAAGGTAAAATTTCTGCACCTAGAGTTGCTGCTTCGACTCTCCAAGCTCCCACTGCTTTCAAAGCTCTCGAGTCTGCACTTTGGTGAGATTTCAGATGCCATTTCTGAAAAGTCCAACATCAAATTTCTAGGCATCCCACCCAAAAGAAAGATCGTTCCAAAGCAAGTTTGTTAGGCAGTGTAGAAAGTGGTCAATGCCTTATGTGCAGCTGCTCACCACGTTCATCTCTGAAAGATGAAGAGAATTGTGTTGTTAGTTTAGGTTTGATTTTTAATCTATTTAAATGGCAAGGAGGGTAAACTGAAGATCTCGAAGTCTGTAATCAGGAAAAATCTTTTAATCACTTTGCAGGAGACCAGGGTATTTCCATCAACCAACTACATCTGAAAGTGCAGTTCTAATCTAAAAGTGGACTTTAAAACACATGGAATAGAGGGGCTACATGTCCATCTCAGTGACTTCCAGATCAGATGGGCTCTGTTTATCAGTGTGGACGTTACATAACTACCATACATAACTCGGTCTGGGATCTGACAATCAGGCTGGGTTTTCTGTTATTAGTATTATCACACATCACTACTACTGGTAATGAGATTCTGCATGCCAAATTATTAAGCCTTCAGTGACCTCTGGTCAACCCCATTACCGCCAATGGGCTTGATGGGAACAATTATTTTTTATTAAGATGCATAAGAGGAATGAAATCCAGTTCCATCTCTTAGCTCTGCAGGGTTGACTCATTTGTCACTCATGTGAACAGATCCAATCTCGATTACATTCAAGGAACCCATCTGTGGAATAAGCAGGTACCATTTTTATAGTCACATTTCAGAGTGAAATTGCACTTTAAACTTTAAAGCGCCTCTGGCTCTAACTCAATTTCATTCACTGTCATGCAGAAAGATGTTTATTCCTTTGGAGAAACCAGGCTTATTGGAATAAAAACCCCATAAACAAGTATTTACTGATGCATAAGAGCTTTCAAACGATCACAGGTTTCAGTTCCGCAGTATCTGGCTGATAAGCATTAGAACTAGTTGTAATGTTTTGAAGGAAGCGAACCCCTCTGCCCCAGTGTTTTCTTCAGTCCCAGACATTAACGTGAAGATAAGAGCATCCTCTCGAGACGGTGCTCACTAACAGCATGAGACACTTCCCCACCCTACCTGCCCATCTCCTCTCAAACATCCAGAGGCATCGACTGAGAAGTAACACCACGCACTTTTCTGATGCACTGTCTTTTTCCACTACACGTTTCCCAGTCACAGGCAATATTTAAATAGTCGGGAGAGCAGTGTTTCCCAAACGTGGGACGCCGCTGGTGCGGGAAAAGCCCCTGGCGGGCCGGTTTGTTTACCTGCCACGTCTGCGGGTTCGGCCGATCGCCGCTCCCACTGGCTGCGGTTCGTGGCCCACGGGGGCTGCAGGAAGCAGCAGCCAGTAAGTCCCTCAGCCCACGCCACTTCCCGGAGCCCCCATTGGCTTGGAGCAGGGAACCGCGGCCAGTGGGAGCCGCGATCGGCCAAACCTGCAGACGCGGCAGGGAAACAAACCGGAGCGGCCCGCCAGGGGCTTTCCCTGCACAAGTGGTCCCAAGTTTGGGAAACACTGCTGTAGAGTGGTAGCAATTCCTCAGTACACTGGGGTCATGGGCTAGTGTTTAGTGCCACCAACTATCACATTTGCTACATTAGAGCCCAGGGGACCATTGAGAATGGGGTCCTACTGTGCCGGGCTCAGTACAAACAAAAAATGAGAGTCCCTGACCCGAAGAACTTACAGTCTCATAATTTGACTCCTTAGGGGCAACACAAGTGGGAGGTGGGGTTCCCTATTTGCATTTCCAGTTCAACTGGATTATTTCTCCTGTCTCACCCCACCTCCACCCCACCTCTCAGAAACCACTGACTATTTTTGCTTCTTAAATCAGCTGATTGGCATGTCACATCAGTACAACAGCATCTATCGATACTCTGTAACAATTCCATTCTCCTGGTCACTTCATCCTGGCAGAATGCTATGATATACTAAAAAGGTATGTATGAATGTCGTCTTAGCTGTGCCATCACTCCAATATTTGTCTTCTGGGAAGACTCCCATACAACGTAGCTAGGCTGCAATCCAGCAAATTCTAGGAATACAATCCAAAGTAAACTGAGCCGTGGATTTCCACCCCACTGAACCATGCTAAAATAGGAAAGAGCTGCTCTTGCAAGCAACAATAAATCTAACAGTTATGATTTCCTTTGGAAACTTTAATAAAAGCCACCTATCCATTGGAATGAACACTACCTACTTGGCCCTCTTCTTGTGCCCACCTCTTGCTGTAATTTGCAAGAGTAAGTAAGTATAGTAACACCTATGTAAGTACATGCCCAGAATTACTGTTTCATACATGTATACTATGAAAACTATGACGAAGGTTACGAGGCAGGCACGTTTGTAATACTGCTGCAGCTGCCAGTGTTCTCATTTCTGCTTCTGCAGGCACTAGAGATATGCAATGGCAGAAGGATGTCAAATTCAAACAAGCAGCATGAAGGAAGAATGCATCCTGTGTTATTACCTGGATTCCTCAGCTTTATCTTCAGAGTAAGCACTGGGACACAGCACTAGACTGTTCACATGGCAGCAGCATTTGGTGAAAGGTAACACCACTATGGGTTAAAAGCTTGGCTCTGCTGAAGTTCATTGGGGAACTCTCATTGACTTCAACAGGGCAAGGATTTAATCCACGGTCTTTAAAGACACTGCTTACAAGTAAGGGAGGTTGTCAAAGGCACAAATGCCCAACTCTTACCACAACTCCATGAAAGCGGAATGCTTACCTCCCATTTGTGCCTTTCAACATCTCCTTGTAACGCTCATGTAGGAATCTTGGGTTGAATGTACTGAAACACCACATTTGTTCCCTAGTGTCTTTCAGTGAGCCCCAGGTTTTTTTTAAGGTTTGGTGTCCTAACCCTAAAGCTTCTTGCTGAACTTTTCACACATATACCCCCAATTTTCACAATGGTGCCCCATTTGGTGACAACAGGTCACCAAGTTCATTGTCTAAGAATTTTCGTGGCTCACATTACCAGGGCATCTTACCAAAGATCGCCTCCACAAGTTTAAACAAACCTAACCTAACCAGGTGGAGGAGGGAGAACTATTTGACCCAAGAGTCCTGTCCTGCTCCCACTGAAGTCAACTGCAAAACTGCAAGGGGGTCCAGGACTGAGCCCTCAGTGGGGTATTCTTTGCACCTGAAAAAGAACACTCAGATCCAATGCTAATAAGAACTCTGTGTAACAACAGTAGTGAGCAGCTTCACTTCCAACAACTCCATGTTATAATTCATACTGCATTCCAGGCTCAAAAGGGCTTCATCAAGCTCCAAGGAATGATTAAACTATGGAGAAGAAGAAATCTTCACCCTCTTGAACCCAACAACTGGCAGCATGTGTTATGGTAGCCATTATTCCTCTCTCTTGTAGGCCCTGGCTACCCTATAGATTTTGCTCATGCGAGGAAAGTTTGTGAGCCAGGTTTATCAGTTAGTATGTTCAGCTGCTGATGTGGGCAGGGCAGAAGGGTATTTTTTTTAAATGGTCTTAGATTTGATCTTTTAGGTCATGTTTAACAGAATTATGGCCCAATTATGGCACCTAACCAGGGATTTAGAAGAGATTCCTAACTGAGTAGGAAATGTAATTCAGACAGAGATCTTTAGCAAAGCGATAATCCAAAATGGCAATTTATTGATAAATTTGGTGCTACACAGCTTTGGCCTAGGCTAGAGGGCAGTGCAAGTGGGTATTGTAGAGGCACTAGACTGGGACTCAGGAGATCTGGGTTCAACACTCAGCTCTACCACAGACTGTGTGTGATCTTGGACAAGTCATTTAGTCTCTCTGGGCCTCATATCCACATCTATAAAAGAAGGATAACACTGCCTTTCTCCCCACCTGGCCTCCACTGTGTGTGTCTGTCTATTTAGACTTTATGCTTGTCAGGGCAGGGATTGTCTCCTGCTATGTGTTTGTACAGTGCCTAGCACCCTGGAGCCTGATCTCGACTGAGGCCTCCAAACATTACTATAATACTAGTATAATTTACAGACAAATTCCCTTCTTGGACTTTAATAATGCAGAAGTCTCCCCATGTCTTTGTATGCCCCCATCACTAGCAAGAGATAGAGATTTTATGACTGTAGCCATCTCTATTCTAACCTCCTAATGAGCTTCAAAACAACCCAGCCCAACCCAACCGCCCCCCCCCCATGGTATGGTCCAACAGGATTGTCAAGGTAACCAGACAGGCTCAAAATAAAATAAATCCTCAGAGAGATGAAACAGCAGGTTAGTAGGAAGCTGCTCTTCTTGACCTTCAAAATGCATTAAAAATGGAAGCTGTTCACAACAGGATTTATTTCTTGTCTACACAACACACTCATGGACACATTGCAGGTGTTTAAATGCAATGCCCTTACTAGAATCAATTGTGGTAGACTGTCCCCATCACTCATCAGTGGCCCAAATATTGCACTTCAGGCCAGGCAGCAAAAAAAGTACATCTGACAGCACTGACAGTTTTCCTAAGAGCAAATTCCAAGTCCCCAATAACAGTGTTCTAATTTTTACTTTAGGGTTATTTGAAAGCCTCACAATTCTTACATTTAACTGCAACTAACCATGTTCAGTCAGTGGAGGGGATTTCATCAATAATATTTTGTAACTGGCACTGATAATTTTAATCTGAGTTCAGTTTTAATCTTCCCAAGATTCAAAGACTCAGCAGACAGACTACAGAAAATTGCTGTAGATTAAGGAGTGGTCTTTCATTCCAGGAAGCCAAATTTTTAGAGCCTGTGGACTCAGATTATTCCTCTACCTTGTTTCCAATTTAGCAACAAGAAGATACAGAATTTTTATACTAGGGGAGCTAAGTGATGTACTTGGTAGCAAACCACAAAAGCAATTTCGTTTGAGAGCTTAATAGGCAAGATTGATCCTTCCAAAATGGAAAGCATCCAAATGCAGAGAGCACCATTCCACTTACTGGACCAGCAAGATATATTGAAGGAAATATGGTCATGATTCTCGGAAAGTTATTAAAATTTTAAAAAACAAGATGTTGCTGAACTGTCCCCCTCCTTGTACTATATATAAATATAATGTTTTGGAGATAAACAAAGAAATTAAATTTCCCACCAAGTCAGGATAGTATTCTAGACCCCTGCAGA